GAGCCATGCTGCAGTTACATTAGTAGCAGTTAATATGTAGTTGTAGCACGAATGGGTCGGCTCGACCGGGGAAGAACCACGCTCTCACAGACTACGAGTGTAAAATACCAGCTTGATGCTGCTGTGTTTCGTATGGTTAGTGTAGAGAACCGGAGACCTGTTTTACTGGAATCGAGGCTTTCCATCTTAGTCCTCAGGGGTGTCATCGCATCTGCATTTTGATTCGTAATCGAGGATAGACGTAGATGTCTATGGGCCACAGCAACCACTTACCATCAGGTGGACTGTGTGCTCGTTTACTCACCTTATCCTATAAAAAAATAATTATGTATTTTTACAATTCAATAAGTTACAACTTGAAGTATTTAGTATATTAATAATTCAATTTAATTTCAATGACGAACTAATTTATTTAATAAGAAATAGTGTTTGGTTCTTTTTTTCATTCATATTCTATAAATACAATATTTAAAAAACTGAAATGTCATATTTCAGAATTAATATCGGAATAAAGTTTAATGTCAGCCGCACCAAAATATTTTTTACAATAAAATTTTCAACAATTTCTATGTCAGTAGTATGTAAAAAGCATGCGCAGTGGGTCACATTGTACAGATGTCGCGCGCAGTTGCTATGTGTCCTGTTCTATCACACGGACTTCGGACGCTACACTTTCTCTATCGCACATATTCAACTTCTTCAACAACTATTCAACTTCAAAACTTTAAAATATGGCAATAATACTCCATGTTTTTCAACGTCTTTTTGAAGGCGAACCTATATGGTTATTTTCGTAATTAAATTATCTTACTTCTGATAGGAGCCGTGGTAGCACAAATGATTAGCGCTCGCTGTAAAGTCACATTACGCGAGCAACCCGGGTTCGATCCCCGACAGCACCAATGAAATTGTTAATTGCAATTTTAAGTGCTGATTTACCACGTGTTAGGCAGTAAAGGAAAACATCGTGAGGAAACCTGTATGTCTGAGAAATAAATAAAAAATATTTCCGAAGGCGTGACGTGACGTGACGTTTTAAACGTCAAGTTTGTAGAGAGATTGGAAGTAAAATTTTATAATTCCATTAAAACCGTATCTACTCTGAAAATGTTGAGCGCCATTTATTTTATGTCTCATCATCCAAATAGCTTCACGCGTATGTTTTAATAGTCCTCTCACGGCAGCAATCAAAGGTTATATCGCGACGAACAAATTTAATTTTTACGACGCGCTGTAAAGCTTGGGGCCGAGTTGCTATTTTATCATGCTAATTACTTTTACTTCTTCGATCTTTAAAGTAAACTGTTTTTAAGTCTATCACATTATTTTCATGTTATATATCTATACATACTAAACTATTGCGAGAAAAAGGGGTAAAAATTTTCCTCTTCATAGTTTTCATAACACGTTAAAGCCAGCTATATTATGGTTGTAGCACGAATAGGTAAACTCTACTGGGAAAGGGCCACGCTCTCACAGTACTCCTGTGAGACCTTTTGCTATGGAAACGAGGCATTCAATCTTAGTACTCAGGGGTATAAACGCCCCGAGTGGTCCGCGATGGGCGCTGAAGCAGCTGGACCGGGAGCTCCTCCTGGAAGCCTCGATCGTGCAGGCCTGGGTGTCATCACCGGACAGGCCTGCCGACGTCAATGATGAGGCAGGGTGGTTCCAGGAGGCCATGTCCGAGATATGTGACGTGGCAATGCCCCGCGTCCGGCCAGGAAGCGCCCGGCGTCAGGTGTATTGGTGGTCGCGTGAGCTGACGTCTCTGCGCGAGGCGTGTGTCGCCGCGCGGCACCTGTACGCCAGGCATCGCAGGCTCCGCATTCGTCCACCGAATGCGGCAGCCATTGAGGCAGAGCTGTACGAGGGATACAGAGCGGCGAAGACCGCCCTCCGAGAGGCTGTCCTGCGGGCCCGGGATCGGGTCCGTGAGGAGATGCTGGAGACTCTCAACAGAGATCCATGGGGGCGCTCCTACAAGATGGTGCGGGATAAACTCCGCACCTGGGCCCCCCCGCTGACGCAAAGACTCCGGCCCCAGCTCGTGGAGGACGTGGTGAGCGCTCTGTTCCCTACGCGAGGGGAACATCCGCCTATGGCTCCGCCACCTGCGGTGCCGGAAGCGGACCACCAGGACGACGACGACGACATCCCGGAAGGGACCGGGGTAGACCTGAGAGTGGCGGTACGTAGGCTCAAGGCCAGGAATACCGCCCCAGGACCCGATGGCTTGCCTGGCAAAACCTGGGTCCTGGCCTCGGAGGCTCTCGGGCCCCGACTGGAGGGGCTCCTAAGCGCATGCTTGGAGAGAGGCCAATTCCCGCTTCGTTGGAAGACGGGGAAGCTGGTCCTCATTCGGAAGCCGGGGCGCCCTGCGGACTCTCCGTCCGCATACCGGCCCGTGGTGCTGCTCGACTAGGTGGGCAAGCTCTTTGAAAGAGTCATTGCAAACCGCCTCGCCGAGCACCTTGTGGGGACGGGGCCGGACTCTTGCGGAAACCAAACTGGTGTTCCGCAAGAGGCGCTCTACGGTGGACGCCATCATGCGCGTGAGAGCCCTCACGACGGGGGATGCAGTGGCCAGAGGGGGGTTGTCTTGGCGGTGTCTCTCGACATCGCCAACGCCTTCAACTCCATGCCCTGGAGCTGCATTAGGGAGGCACTCCGGTATCACCGGGTGCCGACCTATCTCCGTCGTATAGTCGGGGACTACCTGACGGACAGGGCCGTCATCTACCCCGGTCGCAACGGTGAGTGGAACCGGCGAGAGATGTCGTGCGGTGTCCCACAGAGTTCGGTTCTGGGGCCACCTCTGTGGAACATCGGTTACGACTGGGTGCTGCGCGCTGACCTCCCTACCGGCGTCAGCGTAGTTTGCTACGCTGACGACACGCTGGTACTGGCACAAGGGGGGTCGTACGAGGCGGCGGCGGAAACTATGACACGCGGGGTTGCGATAGTCATTGAGAGGATTCGGTAACTGGGGCTCGAGGTGGCTCTGCACAAGTCCGAGGCCATGCACTTCCATGGTCCTCGGAACAGGCCACCACCAGGATCCTCAGTGATGGTAGGAGGGGTATCCATCGGCGTCGAGTCGACGCTGAAGTACCTAGGACTCGTCCTCGACGGCCGATGGAACTTCATTGAGCACTTCCGACGTTTGTCTCCCAAACTGGAACGGACCGGGGTTGCCTTCAGGCGGCTCCTGCCGAACCTGGGGGGGCCAAACGCCTCCTGCCGGAGGCTCTACGCGGGGATCGTGCGATCCATGGCCCTTTACGGGGCCCCGGTGTGGGCGCGTGGTTTGGCGCGGCTTGCCGTCCACCACCTGAACGCGCCCCAAAGAGTGGTCGCCGTGATAATGGTTCGCGGCTACCGCACGATCTCCCGCGAGGCGGCGAGCCTCCTTGCCGGATTGCCGCCATGGGATCTGGAGGCGGTAATCCTCGCACGCCTGCACGAATGGCGCGCGGAGGCACTATGCCGAGGGGAAACCCAGCTGCCGCGGCAAGTTGTCGCGCAGCGGACAGACTTCCGGCACGATCTCATGGCGACATGGAGAGAGCGACTGTCGCAACCCCGTGCTGGGCACGCCACTATAGCGGCGATAAGACCCCTCTTTGAGGAGTGGCTTGAGAGACGCCACGGCATCCTCACCTTCCGCCTGACGCAGGTCCTCACCGGACATGGTGTGTTCGGGAGGTTCCTGCACCGAATCGGGCGGGAGGAAACGCCCGGGTGCTCCCACTGCGAGGATGGACGGGAGGACACGGTGGAACACACCGTGGAGGTGTGCCCTGCTTGGGCGGAGCACCGCCGTGTCCTCGTAGCGGCGATAGGCGGCGGCGACCTCTCGCGTCCGGCCCTGGTCGAAGCCATGGTCCGGAGCGAGACGGAATGGGATGCCGTCACCACCTTCTGCGAAGCAGTGATGCTAGCGAAGGAGGTGGCGGAGCGGGAGAAGGAGAGAGCAGCAGCTTTCCTCCCCGGCCGCCGCGGGAGACGCCCCGGGCGTCGGGGGCTACGTCGTGGCCCCCGGCCACCGTAGGCGCGGGCCTGTGGACGGCGAGCAATGGGTAGCTCGCCGTCCGTCCGTCTAACGACGACAGGCCATGTCGACGGCGCGTTTTGTTCCACGCGCGCCTCAAAGAGCTGTCAGCAGCGTGAAGGGGCCCGTAAGGGCCAACACCTGCCGGGGCTGCGGGCTGTTCGAAAGAGATACCGCGGCTCCGGAACGTAAGGGCACTGAAGGAACACGGATGGTTTTTAGTCAGTAAAAGTCTGACACTCCCTTACGCTCCACCCAGAGCGAAAGGGGTCATTAGATGATTTTCCATCCGCAAAAAAAAAGGGGTATAAACGCATCTGCTTTTTGATTCTTAGTCGAGAGAGAAGAGAGTAGAGGTACACTGTGTGCTCGTTGGTCGGCTTTTTTATATAAAAAAATATAATTCACCACCGTGAGTGTGGTGAGATGGTGAATAGCTTTTTCCTAATTACAGCTCAAAATAATAAAAAAACTACAGTTGTCGGCGTGTAGCCTGTCAAGCGTGAGAGCGTGGAAAACATCCGTTTTTAGACAATCTGTGGTCAGAGTCAATGGTGAGGCCTTTGTTGGAATTCATATATTTAGGCGATATTCAGCTGTGAATTGTAGCTGATGTTGACGAAAATAAAATGACGAAAGATGATTCCTTATCCTTACGCAAACATTATACATTGAAGAAAACTAAGTTTACGGATTTAATCGCGTTTTAATTATTTTCGGGCATTTTACGTCACCCATGGTCACAGCCGGGACTGGGATGTTTGATGTCCTGATATCATAGTTAACGAATCATCATCATTATTACAGTTCATCACAAGTCGATTTGAGTTGGAAATATAAATAATTAAAAAAAATCGAGGATACGTGAAGTCCGCTGCACTTGAGAAGATCCCTGTGCTCAATAACATTTTTATTTTATCAATTATGGTTATTAGAAATAAAATAAATGGGCCTTATTTCAATTGTTTCAGCTATCGCTGTGAGAGTGGTACTTGCAGAAAAACAATACTTGCGCTTGGAGCACCCCAGACATGACAAAAGGTAAGTTTCTTTTATAGAATAAGGATGATAAACGAGCACAGGGTCCACTTGATGGTAACTGGATGTTGTGACCCATAGACATCTAGAGTGTAACAAACCGGAGACCCGCTTTACTGGAAACGGGTTACAGTACTCAGGGGTTACAAAGCATCCTTATAAAAAAAACGTGAAATCAAACACTAACCTAACCAATTTACTACATGCTCCCCGATAAAAAAATGTCGTGAGGATAATTAATAGAATCAGGCTTTACTTTGCGGAAATCCATTATATTAAATTTCAAGATAAAGTAGACTCTGCAGTGAGCCGAGAGTTATATTTATAATATTTTATTTCTTAATAATGTTGTCATCAATTTTCTTAATTAAATTGATATTGAATCCAATAAAGATATCACAATACAACCAAATAGAAAATTGTGATAATAAAATACATAAAAACAAGACTAATAACAAAGCAAAGCGACAAGCTTCAAAGAAAATTGGCTTGGTAACGGCCGACAGTTAAAAAAAAAGGTGCTTATCAGCTGTTTTGCGAATGGTCTTACTTTTATTACCTTTTAAATTTTATTGTTTTGATGGAAGTAAGGGTGATGGCACAACGTTTAATTTATAAAAATTATACTTTGCGCCTCTTTGTTTTCGTATTAACTATGGATTACATTTTTGTAATCAAAGCGTAATTTTCTTTATCCATATTGCATGGCTTCAGCGTAAAAGCACTTAGGTATGTTCTACTAGCGCCTAAAAATCAAGAATCGATCAGAAAAGGAGTGACCACACACACATATTTGGCTACTCATCAAAAATTGAAAGAGCTTGGTTGGAAAGTGTTAGTGCATCCACCATATAGTCCCGACCTTGCACCCCCAGATTTTCAATTGTTTCGGTCTCTTCAGGACTATTTAGGTAGTGTTAGGCTAACATCAAGAGAGAACTATCAAAACTACTTGTCGCATTTGTTAGATCAAAAATCCCTATATTTCTACAGCAACGAGGTTGTATCACTACCTACAAGATAGCAACAAGTTATCAAACAAAATGGCACAAATATATTATAGTTAAACGTAATTAAAATTCGAAAAAAAAATGTCTCAAATTTATATATGAAATTCGAAGAAACTAATATACACCTACCCGACCCCAGCCTTATATACAGTTAGTTACTTACCATTATGTGGTCTGTAAGTTCTTTTTTCGTTTCAATTTTGTATAAGAGTAATAATACTTAAATAACTTATATTTACTTTTCCGCACGGTATATCACGTGTCTTATTATTTTATGACTCAAGTGAACAACATTCAGTTACGCTGAAATCTTACAAATCTTAAATTTTATTCAGTCATGATTTTACGTAGAGTTTGACATTATTATTTGGACCCGATCATGATCAAATTCTCTGAACTTCGAGTAATATCAGGAGCTTGAAGCTTCACAAGGTCAAACCAAAATATCAGTTAAAGTTTTTAATTATTTTACACAATAAAAGTTGGAAAACGAGCACATAATTCATCTGATGGTAAGTGGATGCTAGGCCTCATAAACACCTACATCTATATCCGAGTAATAATAAAAATACAGATACTACGATGGTATACCTCGTTAGTTAACACAGTTAATAAAGCTCGAGTTTTTGTCTCCTTTAATATGAAACACCGCAGAATTATGCTGTTTTTGCGCTAATAATCTAAAAAAGCTCCTTTCCTGGATTACCCAACTAATGTTGCCGTCACAATAGAACCACACAGCAGATTCTACCACATAAATGTATTAGAATAATCCTTCGAATTCAACACCGTTTCTCATTTTCTCATACTCATAAACCCTAAACAGTCTACTACTGGGCATCTATAAGTCCAGTATTCATCCTTTACTTACCTTTCGAGGCCAGTATCCGTCTAAAAACATATAAGTGTCGATCGCAGTGCAAAATGCCTCTCACTTTTCTAACAAAGATGGGATATTTCAAGATTTCCCTAAAGCACCTCTTACTAAATCTACGGGGTGAAATTATAAAACGCCACGAGATTACGTTTGCCTCGTATCTTTTTTTTGACGCGAATTTATTCTACGGTTTTTCGAAACATCACCATCATTAACATCAGGAACATGGGTTAATTAGAAAATAAAGTGATGTTGTTTAAAAATATTGTCTATTGGTTTATAAAACATTCTGTGCTCGTTATATATTTATTTACCAATAGTTAACTGGCTATCATAGCCAGAATAATCTATTGTCGAAAAAATATTTAGTTTTGACCTTCTTTACGCTTAGACTTTACCTTTAGAAAATTCCTCGTGTTGTCACTATTCCAAATACGACTATTCTAGAGCTATAAAATTAAGTCACCAATAATTTAAATTGATGTTTCTATATTTTCAGGAATACAATACAGAAAACCACGATCTCAACAGTTGACTTTTATATAAAAGTTCCAGCTTCCGCACTAGAATTAAAAAATGGTAAGTTAAACTCAATTATCTTAATCAGATTTGAAAGCTGTGGTAGATCCTTAGGTAGGATAAAGCTCTCTTCTGTAATTTCTCGAGCAAACCGGATTCGATCCAAACTGGCACCATTAAAATTTTAAATATTTATAAAATACGGGTAACAAGTCAGCTCACAGTCTGCCTGATGGTTAATACATGCTAGCATAGCATATTATAGATATCTACATTTAACATCGATTATAAATCGACGTGCAGATCACGCATGAGCGCTAATATGGAATGCCTTTTTTACCAGTATAACGGGTATCCAACTCTTTCCATATGAAACGCAGCAACATTATTCCGCTATTTAGTACGCTAATATTCTGCGAGAGCGTGATCCTATTCCAGTCGAACCAACCCATATCCACTGCGACTTGGTCGTATTTAGCTGCAGCGGGGCACTACGTAGTAAATAAAAATATTGTAATTTTACATACATATTACTGCGGAAACCGCACAGTGAATAAGAAAACCGGTAGATATGAAGTCCGCCTACACGCAATAGGGCAGGGCGGAGATCTGATTTCTCAATAACCCTCTAAGAAATTTAAGGAAATATTGTCGCTTTAAAAAATCTTAAAATTATAAAATTTAAAAATTATATATGTTTTATAATAATAAATTGTATATATGATTTAAAATTATTGTTTCGAAATTTTATAATTTTAAGTGTTTTATAAAATTAGTATCAACTAGTAAGAAAATCAATACTAATTATGACAAATATCAAGTAATATTAACCTAAAGAAACTACGAATGATATAATTGACTTTCTAATGTCAATGAGCTGTGACGACAGATTTATAATACTGTTTAGGTACAGGTTCATGGTTGTGGCTCATTTCTAACTAGCTACTGCCTACGGCACCGCCAACTTCTAAGCCTGTGGTGTAAACTGAAAGCTGATCTGTACATTTTCCGGTGGTAATTTTTATTTTCTCTCATTCAAATTTTTATAGCATTCCGTGCATTCAGCATATAATTTATCTGTGTGCCGAATTCAGTCCAAATGAGTTGTACCTTTTATTCGTAATTGAATAACAAACATCTAAACTTTAACATACATTCACATACTTTATTATACATGATTTCTTTAAACAGATTCAATTTTATTGTTACCGCTTACGAGTGCAAGTTTATTTTTAAACTTTTGCTGTTTCAAAAACACGTCGAGAAGAAACTGGACGCTAAAGAAAATATGTAAAAAAGAAGAAACAAAAAAGGAATGACTTAACTCATATCGTTTTGAAATATCCTTTTGGATTGCTAAAATACCATCAGTGATAAATGTTAATGTACAATTTATTATACACATTTAATGTATTATACACATTTTTTTATCAGCCATAAGAGTACGGAAGCAAAGCTGTTACAAGTGGCACCATAAAATTATTAAGGCACGTTCATAGTAAAAGTGTATTTTTCCTATAAGGTAGGAACTTTTTTGTCTAGGAGCTTTGTTGGTAGAAACTGAAGCAAAGCTGTTCCATGAGGCACTGTTAAATCCTTAAACTAGGTTTAGAATAAAAGACTATTGCTAGATGATAGGAATTTTTTCGTCAAGGAGTCTGTCTAGGTAGGAACCACTTCCTTTCCTATTTCTACCGCGATAGGCAGTGTCCACACTGCTGTGTTCTATGGAGAGCCAATAACGACCAAATGAGTTTTAATCATCAAAATTCATTCTTAGTTTTCAAAAGTAACAACGCATCTGAGGCCTTCTTTTTTGATGTTGGTTGCCGGTGTCCATGGGTTGCAGTTTCCATTTAAATAATTTCTGATGGTAAACGCTGATGGTGGACTGTGAAATCTTTTATCACTTCAGCTTTATAAAAAATATTGAGGGGAAACACTTTTCATATGGAATAAAGGTGACAAGCGGCGGTGTAGGCGGTGTGGCCCGTGGATATCCACATTTATTGCCCGCATTGCTCCTTGAGAACTAGGATGGATTGCCTTGTTTCCCAAAAAAGGGCTCCAGTTCTCTACATTTACCATACGAAATACAGCAACATTGGGATTCTATTTTACGCTGGTAATCTGAGAGAACGTGGTCCCTTCTCAATCGAGCTGACCCATCTGTACTACGACCATATTGTAGCTGCAACATGGCTTTAACACGTAAACTTGTTATGGTTAAACTCAACCAGGTAGATGATATCAGGATTTTACATATTGTTCTTCATCTTTTTCATCAGTTTCCCATTCTTATAGTAAGAAGGATTTACATTAATCATTACTCTTGGCAGGCTTGTTGACGATATCAGTATCAAATATCAGTAGTCGGTACTACGTCCCGCACCGCTGCTTCACGTATGCATTTTACTTTTTGTTTACTGGCTTTACCAGTAGTCACCTCTTATGATACTTCATCGAGAATGAGGTAATGGGTTCCCTTAGGCTGTCAACTCACATCAAATCTTTCACTTAGTTCATAAATTTTACCGCAGTAAAATTAAACTATCCAGAACTTTATTTTTATTCATCACGCTGCAACTTGCTCCCAAACTTCATAGGAAGGAACGAAAAACGTTTGCAATTGAAAATAAAAAAGAAGCTAAGTATTCATTCCGCTTGAAACTTTGGAAGTTCTCTGCAATGCCTAATTCTCCTTTATACCTTTTGATGCAAAGTTGAAATTGGCTCGCATTATTAACTCCGATATAGATTACGGGTCGGGAGCAACTTCGGACCGCAGCGCTCGGAAAGTTTTGAGTGCATTGCCGAGTTAGTCTCTCGTTGGGCTCTCTTAAACTAAACCGGGTGGAAATTGCATAACGATATAACCGTTTTATAATAATTTTAAAAGTTTCAAGGGTAAATAAACGCAAACATAAGTTTATATTTGCGTTTATTTTCTGTAATTTTTTCACGTGATATAGCCATGCTGCAGTTATATTATGGTTGTATCACAAATGGGTTGGCTTGACCAGGGAGGACCAATACTCTCACAGAATACCAGGGTAAAATAATAGCTTAATGCAGCTGTGTTTCGTATGGTGAGTGTAGAGAACCAGAGATCCTTTAAATGGAAACGAGGCATTCCATCTTAGTTCTCAAGGGTGACAACGAATCTGCATTTTGATTCTTAATCGAGGATAAATGTGGAGGTCTATGGGCCACTACCACTTACCATCGCATGGACTATGTGTTCGTTTCACCTTTATTCTAAAAAAACATTTGTACCTGTATACACTGTGCATATTACAATATTAAAGTTCTCAGTTCTCGGAGAGTTTGCATTCTAACCTAAAATTAAGGAAAGGAGGCGCAAAGCTTGTTAGGTACTTAGATTTTAGGGAAATTAAATGTAATTTTTCTCCAAATTTTCTACAGTTTTAAAATGCGGTGTGTCTAACCGGAGAGAGAGAGAGAGAGAGAGAGAGAGTATTATGAAGTATAGACTAAAGGTAGTTATATACTTTAGATATTGTTCCTTAAAGTACATGCCTGCTCTCATTTCTAAGATGACTTAGAACTTAAAGTTTTCAATGTTGTCTTTGAATTTTTCAAGTAATTTTTCAATTATGCAGGTTTCTAAGACAAGTCAAGCACGTACTGAAGTGTTTGTAGTAGAGTCATTTTTTTTATAATAAAAGATAAAAAAACGGAATTACATACCGCTGAATTTCAGGCACTCGAAATAATAGCATTTACAATTCTACATTGCTTGAAAATCTTCGGTACAGTAAATTACAGCCTACGCTCGCTACTGGGCACAAGTTTCTTCTGATTTTTGAGGTTTTTGGACGGGCTGCTCAAGTCCGTGTATCATCATTCATCATCATTACAGCCCTTCACAAGTCCACTGCTGAACATAGGCCTCCCCCAAGTAATGCCACAAAGCACAGTCCTGAGCCACCTGCATCCATCGACTTCCTGCATATCTTACCAGGTCGTCACTCCATCTAGTGGGGGGTCGCCCTACACTACGCCTACCGGTACGAGGCTGCCACTCGAGAACCTTTCTTCCCCATCGGTTATCGGTTCTTCGACCTATATGGCCGGCCCATTGCCACTTCAGCTTACTAATCCGTTGGGCTATGTCGGTCACTCTGGTTTTACTGCGGATATCCTCATTTCTGAGTCTATCACGCAGAGAAACTCCGAGCATAGCCCTCTCCATAGCTCGCTGAGCGTCCTTGAGCGTCCTCATACGGCCAGCAGTGAAGGACACGTCTCAGATCCGTAAGTCATCACTGGCAACACGCACTGGTTGTACAATTTAGTTTTTAGAGATTGAGGTATACCTGACGAGAAGATATGTCGTAATTTCCCGAACGCTGCCCAGCCGAGTTGAATCCGTCGATTGACCTCTCGGTCGAAGTTGGGCTTACCTAGTCGGACTATTTGTCCCAGGTAAACGTACTCGTCAACAACTTCGAGCATAGTGCTCCCAACAACTACCGGCATAGGTGTGACATGGACATTAAACATGATCTTTGTTTTGTCCATGTTCATCTTAAGACCTATCCGTTGGGAGGCACTATTGAGGTCATTGAGCATAGTGCTTAAGTCCTCCAGCGATTCTGCCATAAGGACTATATCGTCGGCAAATCGAAGGTGAGTGATGTACTTGCCATTGATGTTAATACCGTATCCTTTCCAGTCCAGTAGCTTGAAAACGTCTTCCAAAGCAGCGGTGAAGAGTTTCGGGGATATAACGTCACCCTGTCTTACACCTCTCTGCAGTTGGATAGGTTTCGAGCTCTGGTTCTGTACTTGGATAGCCATCGTAGCCCTACTGTACAAACACTTCAGCACTTCTATATACCGACAGTCAACTTGGCACCGCTGAAGGGACTGCAGCACCGCCCAAATTTCGACGGAATCAAAGGCTTTCTCATAGTCCACATACGCCAGGCAAAGTGGCAAATTGTACTCTTCAGTCTTCTGTACAATCTGCCGTAGGGTATGTATGTGGTCTATGGTACTGAAGCCTTTTCGGAAACCGGCTTGTTCGGGAGGCTGGAAGTCGTCGAGTCTGCGTGCGAGACGATTCGTAATGACTCTCGAAAACAGCACGTAGACGCGGCTCAGAAGGGAAATCGGTCTGTAGTTCTTCAAGAGAGCGTTGTCGCCTTTCTTAAAGAACAAGACCACCGCACTTCTGCTCCACGCCTCTGGAGTAGTGCCACCATGGAGGACGGAATTGAAGAGCTTCTGAAGGACTTCCAGTACCGGTGTTCCACCCGCTTTTAGAAGCTCCGCTGTAATTTCCATCTTCGCCTGGGGCCCTGCCGTTTTTAAGGTGCTGGAGAGCCATTCTAATCTCGCTTAGACTGACGTCCGGGATATCATCGGAATAGTGTCGGATAAGACTTGCTCTTGGATCGTTACTCACACTTGCGTGTGGCTCCAACGATGATGTGTACAGCTGCCCATAGAACCTCTCAATCTCACTCAACATCTCAGGTGTCCCGGAAACGATGCTGCCACATTCAGTCTTCAGCTTTGACAGTGAGAGACTTTGGCTCTTTCTGGCAGACAGATCTCTGGCAAAGACTTTGGAGCCCTGGTTCCGCTCGATCGCTTCTTTAATACGAGCAGTATTAAAGTTGCGTAAGTCTCGCCGCATGCATTTGAAGATCTGTCTGTTCAGTTGCCTGTATGCTGTCAAATCTGTTGACGATTGCAGCCTCATCTCCCGTCTAACAGCCATGATATTAAGAGTGTGATCGGAGAGTTTTTGTGTTCTTCTGCGGTGGGTCTTGCAGAACTTAGCTCCGACCGCATGGACAGTTTCCACGAGCTTGTCATTCATATCGTCCACTGCATTGAAATCTTGTAGGCACTGAAAGCGGTTGTGTAACTCGAGCTGAAAGTTTTCGGGATTCTGGACTAGAGCACGAGGGGGGACGGAGCGTTGACTTCATTAGACGAGACCTCTCCAACTTAACGTTTAGGTTCAGTGTGCCTCTAACCATTCGGTGATCGCTGCCAGTTTTCACCCTTGCGATCACTGAGACATCACTGAACAGTTGGCGTCTGGTCGTCATAATGAAGTCAATCTCATTTTTTGTCGAACCGTCGGGGCTCGATCAGGTCCACTTCCTGTGGGGCCGCTTCTGGAAGAAAGAGTTCATCATAAAGAGTCCCTCTTTCTCCATAAAGTCGGCCAGCTGCTGGCCCCTTCGGTTCCGTTGCCCTACTCCAAATTTCCCTAACTTCAGCTCACCGCTTTCTCTTGTGCCTAGTTTTGCGTTGGAGTCTCCCATCAACACCGTGTAGTGTGTTTTGGAGGAATGCATGGCTTTGGAAATATCCTCATACATTTCCTCTACCTCCTCATCGGGATGTGCCGAGGTTGGTGCGTAAACCTGTATGACCTTCAGCGAATACCGTTTGGTGATTCTGAGTATCAGGTACGCGACCCTCGTCGACACACTCCCAATCTTTACAACGTTGTTGACGACGAGAGACTTGTGGACGATAAATCCGACACCTCCTTGGGACAGATGGTCGCCCTCCCGGTGATAGAACAAGTTGCCGGATTCGAGAATCACCGTGTCCTCCCCCTCTCTTTGGACCTCGGATAATCCTATAATACTCCAGCGCAACTTGTTTATCTCTTCTTCCAGCTCCAGGAATCTTCTCGTCAGTCCTCAGTGTGCGTGCGTTAAATGTTGCCAGGTCGAGTCGTCGTAGGTGGCAACGGAACCTCCACCGGAGATTCTTAGCACCCCTGCCCCGCCGTTACCATGGTCGCCACCGTAGCGAGGAATAGCGGGGCCGCCGGGGACTGGGGGCCGTCTATTTGTGTAATTGTTCATGGGGGGTATATTGCCATAGTTGCCACGCTTGGCGAGCGGGTTGGCAACCGCAGTTTTTTTTTGTCGTACAGTTGCTGTTATCAGGAAGATGCTGCTGCCCATCTCCTGCCTGTCTCCCTCTGTCGCCTTTTACGACACCCACGGGAAGATATGAGGTAGTGGATATCCTTAACCGCCACTACACGGCATATGTCCCTATAATAAAATATTTTATTTTACAGACGCGCAGTTACTTCTCTGAATTTTCTTTCACCAGCCAAGTGGTAGATCAGTACACATACGTGGTAGCGCCATGTTGCAGTTATATTAGTAGTATAGTTGTAGCACGATTGGGTCAGCTCGACCGGGGAAGGACCACGCTCTCATAGAATACCAGCGTAAAATAGTAGCTTAATACTGCTGTGTTTCGTATGGTGCTTGTAGAGAACCGGAGACTCTTTTTACTGGAAACGAGGCATTTCATCTTAGTCCTCAAGGGTGACAACGCATCTGCATTTTGATTAGTAATCGAGAATAGATGTATATGTCTATGGACCGCAGCAACCACTCAGGTGGACTGTGTGCTAGTTTGTTACCCTATCCTATAAAAAAAACACAATGACAATAAACTATTGCAGTAGTCCCGCATGGGTCAAACTCTGGTTGTTACTGTTACTATGAAAATAACAGCGATCGCATATATCTCTTGAGCTACACTAGTTCTGTTCTCATAACGCTGACCTTTTTTATAGAATGTCACCCTTGACAAACATCTACATTTATCCTCGATCAAGAATACTTACAGTTTGTAATGTAATTATATTACCTGCTCTACAGACCGGAACACTGCGACACTGCTATTCAGCGGCGGAAATAAGAGAGCAGTACCTGACCAGTCTGTTAGACAAAAAGAACCCTACCACCTAGATTTAACTTTGGAACTTTTATCATTATAAAAATATTGAAAAAAAAACTATTTTAGGTCCAAAGCCTTGTTCTCCAAAGCCTTGTTCTCCAAAGCCACTATCATCTTTTGGACATATTACGACCATAAATAAAATAGTTGGTAGAAAATCCGGCCAAGTGCGTGTCATACTCGCGCATGAAGGGTACCATAACCATTATATTACGGGATTATAGTTATATTTTTTTACGGAGACATTTGTATTTATTGCCTTTATTATGTATTGCCATAATTATAATCTACAGTAGATATATACGTCGTTGAAATCAGGCAAAAAACTCCAATAAACACGTCTCTTGTATAGGGATCTCCTTTAATTTTTAAATAAGTTACAAGTTTAAGTGTAATTGGTCACCTTAAGCTTTGCCGTCCTATAAAACCAAAACTAGGAAGAGAACAGAACAAAAACACGAAGTCGTATATTATAACTAATGTATTTAAAAAAGTAGCAAACAAGTCTTGACAATAATTATGAACACTGAAAAATCAACTTGAAAAAACTAACTACACCATCGATCATTAATAAAGAACTAGTGATCGATTAACAACAAAAAATAGACTACACCATACTAAGGTCGACTAAAATACCATACTATACTACATTACTATATTATCAACAAAAACGGAGTCGATAAAGCAGTGCCCTTTTGACCCTTCATTATTTTACTGACCGATGAAAAGCTATCGTATCACAAAGCCATCTATGTTAACATGGCTGCTGTTTTAGAGTTATAGGAAAGTGACCATATTAATTGGATGCCCATATTACGCTCAAGTACTATATTATTTTATTGTATTATAAGTTTTAGCGAATATAGTAATACAAACTCTGTGAGCATTTCCACCGTTTAATTGATTCCATAATAAAGATCGAGCTAAAAAAATCCCAAAAAAAAACACGTTTCTAGTAGAGGAGACCCTTTTAATTTCAGTTTATTTAAATTTTTATGTTATTTGTTGTTATAGCGGCAACAGAAATACACATTCTGTGAAAATTAAAACTGTCTACCTGTTACGGATCCTGAGATAGAGCCCCCTGACAGACAGACTGACAGAAGGACGTACGGACAGCGGGGGTGGGGGTACGGGAGGGATAAGGTCCCGTTGGTTACCCTTCGGGTACGAATCCCAAAACAGAAAGAAAATCCTTTCATACCTATTATTTATTAATTAAACTAATAATGAAAATAATAATATTAAAATGAATCTTATCAACCAATTCATTATATAAATGTATTTTTTTTTTTGTTACAGGTGTTCAAGCAAATACATATAATTCAATAATTGTAAGGTAAGCCAATATTGTGGATGTAAAAATTAGGTAAAAAATTTATCTTGATTTATTGAACACTTTCCGAAATTATATCTATTTACATCAAATTTTAATTAAATTATTTATTAAGGTATATATAAAGATTTTATTATTGAAATTTATTAAATATTGTTTACAATTTTACTTAAATTTATAAAATATTATTTACTCGTATACACTATTATTTGTTCTGTGGTACAGATCATATGCGACTAAACCAAGTATCCTTCGGCACCAGCAATCAGTCTGTCTGGGCTGGATGTTTCTCCTTGTGAATTTTATGTATTTATACTGCCCCAATGATATCGGAGAAATTCCTTGTGTGAAGTAAAACATTAAAAAAACGTAAATAAAAAAGGGTTAAATTATTAGTTGTAATTTCAAGTACTGATTGAACAAGTGCTTGGTTATGAAGGAAACATCGTATGGGAAACTGGATGTCTGAGAAATAAACACATTTCGAAGACATATAAACTCCACCGACACACATTGGAGCAGAGAGGCGGACTGACTGATCCGTCTCAGAAATGATTGATGACCAGCGCTTAGCACTAAGATAATCATATAGGCTGTCTCTTTACTTTTTTTTAAATCTATTGAATCATCATCATCATCATCATTACAGCCCTTCACAAGTCCACTGCTGAGCATAGGCCTCCCCCAAGCAATGCCACAAAGCACGGTCCTGAGCCACCTGCATCCATCGACTTTCTGCATGTCTTACCAGGTCGTCACTCCATCTAGTGGGGGGTCGCCCTACACTACGCCTACCGGTACGAGGCGAGGTAAAATAAGGTTTCATCGGTACGAGGTACAATGTCCCCCCATGAGCAACGACGCAAATCTATTGAATGTATCGTTTTAAATTCAGTAATAGTTACCATGTTAGTTACTTAACCATTAATATTTGAAAACGCTAAATGTAGAACTTTGTAAAAAATGTGCTACTTTCATATAATTTTACAGCCATAGTCTTAAAAATAAAGGTTATTATTAATATTTTTTACTATTCCTATTTTCAATATTGTCCCACGAAATTCCACTGCTGGAGGTAAACCTATCCTGTTGTAGAGAGCATTTGCGTTAATCTTCACTCACTTAGCCAATAAAAATACTTGTTTCATGCGGATTTCAAACCCGCGGCAATTATACCCGCAACTCAATTTAAGCCACTGCACAGTCGATAGAGAAATATTTGCCACGTTTGGCAGACGGTTTGGTAACCAAGGTTTTTTTATCACTTTTCATTGTTATCAGAAAGATTTTCTAGCTTATCTCGTGTTATCTCATGTTTCATTTCCTATGTCGCCTATGTTCCTAAGTGTCGTAAGACCCACGGGATACTAGAGGACGGGATAATATAGAAAAGTGGATATACTTACTCCGCCATTACTCGGTCAATAATATATAGGTACTATTAGTCGCCTAATGGTAGAAGTTAGGTCGCAATTCGGTAATTTTCAGTTTTGCATATTATTTTATACATCTTTATTTAAATCTAAATTACTCTTTGAGCGTTTGAAAAGTAACACTTCTTTGAGCGAGTTCCACAGAAAAATTCAGTTGAAAATTATTATAATTAACATTTGCTTACATCGGCTATAGTATTTCAGTGCATAAAGTGTGTTAATATATATTAGTGATACAAACAGCCACAATAAAAGTGTAAATTATCGTAAATAACTAAATATTTTCCAAGAAATTATTTTTGTGAAAATTTGTGCGGTCAGTTGAACATTTGTACTGTCACAGTGTCCAGAGTACAATTGTGATCGAATCTCACGGTTGCGTGCAGCGCAGAAGCACTAGTATCGCGCGCATAAGTTTGTTGTACCATTGTGTGACGTTACTCAAATCACGTGTCATAGATTAAGCACTGCAGATGAGACACGCATATAAGAACTACGCGATTGACTCTGGGAGGACGATATTTTGATCTTATATTTTATGACTAAATTTCTTTCATTGTATATCATTTTGTGTATTTCATTAATTATATAATTAATTATATTTTTATAATTATAAATTTGTAAAATATTAATAGTAGGATGTCACGATCTAAGTGGGGTTGTTGTTTACCGCAAAAGGATAACGACGATGACTTTATAATATGTTCAAAGTGTAAAAAACATTATCATATGGCATGCGTGTCCCTTGATATAACTTTGTTCGGCACCGAAATGCGTACTGGGTGGACCTGCCCTGAATGTAGTCGTAACATCTCTAAATCTGTAAAAAAGGACAACACACCTGTTCGCAACGTATCGAATGTAAGAGGAAGTAAAAGACCTGCACTACATTCTCCACCCACCCAGGAGACCAGTAGCATTTCTCGAGATGACTTACGCGAGGCAATAGAAGAAATTATGGATAAGAAAATAGAGGAATTTTTTTCGAGGATGGAAGATAGAATCAGCATGATTATCGATAGTAAAATGAAACCGTTAGAAGAAGATATTACTGAAATTAAAAAGTTTTTAAACTTCGCTGACGAGAAATATGAAGAAATGAAAAAGGGGGTCGAGGTCTTTAAGCTCAGAATATCAGATTTGGAAGCTGCAAAGGAAAACCTTAGCTCTACAGTCGATGACCTTAATCGAAGAATTAATCAAATGGAGCAACAAGCAAGACAAAATAATATTGAGCTTCAATGTGTCCCGGAAAACAGAAATGAAAACCTCATTAAAATAGTTTGTGATCTTGGAAAAACTGTCGGTTGTCAACTGAAAGAGATGGACATACTAAACTGCACCCGCACTGCCAAGCTAAATCGAAGCTCTCCACGCCCACGATCTATAATTGTGCAATTATCTTCACCTAGGTTACGCGATGAGCTTCTCGCCGCGTCTATTAAATATAATAAGGGGAAAGCGCTTGAAAGTAAACTGAACTCTGCGTCACTAGGATTTCCAGGAGACAGGACACCAGTCTTTGTTTGCGAACATCTTTCTCCTACAAACAAGGCTCTTCACGCTGCAGCTAGGAAGAAGGCGAAGGAAGCCGGATATAAGTTTGTTTGGATTCGAAATGGCAGAGTATTCTTACGGAAAAGTGAGGAAACTGAGTACATTCTGGTGAAAAGCTTGGATACGTTAAAAAACATAAAATAATTCGTTGATGCTCATAACATTGATTAATATCTTTTGCGGTGCTGGTATGCCATTGTCAATTTTCTTTTAAAATTCGATTTAATTAAGTTATACTACCAAAATACACGTGGACTGAGAACTAAAACACATAGCTTTCTTCAAGGAGTACTTTGTAATGATTACGATATAATTGTACTCACAGAAACGTGGTTAAACGACTCCGTGTCAAGTGGTGAGCTATTCGACGAAAGGTATGTGGTTTATAGAAGGGATAGGAGTAATGCCAAATTAATTCACAAAAAAAGAAGGTGGTGGTGTTCTTGTGGCGGTTTCGAGACGGATACCTTCTAAACGTATGTACAGTTGGGAATCTAAACTTGAAGACCTCTGGGTCACACTGGAAATTCCGATATCACATTCCTTGCGTCGAGTGGCTCTCTGCGCAGTGTATTTGCCACCTCCAGTGCACAGTTCAATGTTGAGTCACTTTATCGAAAGTTGTAGTGTTGTACTTGATAATAGTGATTGTTGCTGTATTTTAGGTGATTTTAATTTGGCATGTATTGATTGGAGTTTGGTGGCGGATACTTCCTATGATTATAAGGCGCCGGGTTTATGTCAACCACTGTTGGATTTATTAAATTTATATGAACTCAAACAACATAATAGTGTACTTAATAAATCTAACAGAATACTTGACTTGGTGCTGTCTAATTTTCCGGCTTGCATAGTACGTCAGAGTCACTCAATATTTAGTAGCATTGACCAACTACACCCTCCCCTAGATGTAGATATTTCATTTATCAGAGAACCAAGACTTTCGTTTAATCACCAAACTTTTAAATTAAACTTCCACAAAGCCGATTTCTTTAATATTAATAAAGAACTCCAAGGGTGTGATTGGGTACAGATATTTGGGGACAGCAGTGATGTCAATACTATTCTTGGAAAATTTTATAATACAATTGGTGCTATAATAGAAAAATATGTTCCTAAACATAAATTGAAAAAGTCACGATATCCCCCCCTGGTTTGATCGTAACTTAAAACGATGTTTAAATGAAAAGTACAATCTTTGGCGTCGTTATAAAAAATATAAAAACCCTATGGACGAACTGGAGTTGAAGTTATTAAATTCACGTTGCACCCGTTTAGCTAAAAATTGTTATAATAAATACATTAGCGATTCGGAAAAAAACATCTCAAAGAATCCTAAATATTTCTGGGCATATGTTAAAGCTAAACGTGGTGGCACGAGTTCTTACCCAATTAGTATGACTGATGGATTAGTTACTACGTCGGATGGTAAACAAATTTGTGAAATGTTTGCGTCACACTTTGCATCTGCATACATAAATAGTAGTCCTCGAAACTCTGGTAGCAGAGATACCTTGGGGTATGTCGAGAATATCAATCAATGCTTAATAATACCTACTATAGACTCTGATACTCTACTGAGGAAGCTAAAAAATCTCGATGAAAGCAAAGGTGCAGGCCCGGATGGGATTCCTCCTATGTTTATAAAAAGATGTGCTACATACTTAGTTGAGCCTTTATTGAGAATATTTAATATGTCTTTACAGACGGGAACGTTTCCGACAGAATGGAAAAAGGCAAGAGTAGTTCCAATTCATAAAGCAAATGACGATGATATCATCTCAAACTACAGACCCATTTCCATTTTATCAACACCAGCTAAGGTATTGGAATCTCTCATCTGTCCTTTTGTGCAGCGTCATTTTAAACAGAGTTTGTGCACTCAACAACATGGTTTTGTTCCCTCTCGCTCAACGTGTACCAACTTGGTAGATCTCACAGAAAACTTGGCAGAGGCTCTGGATTGTCATAAGCAAGTAGACGTTATATATACAGATTTTAGCAAGGCTTTTG